GACGTGACATGTTCGTACGAACCCTTTGTACGAACAAAAGTAAGAGAAATTTAGGATAAGAATACGAACATGTTCTTGCATGAGGCCCAATGTTACAACTAATCTGGGATCCCTTTAAAAGTAGACAGAGTGTCAGCCTCACGGACAGAAACTGGAAGTTGGTTCCACAAGAGAGGAGCTTGATAACTGAAAGCTCTGCCTCCCATTCTACTTTTAGAAACTCCAGGAACCACAAGTAAACCTGCAGTCTGAGAGCCAAGTGCTCTGTTAGGAAAGTATGGAACAATAAGATCTTTGATATACGATGAAGTAATGAGAAAGACACTTCAAATCTCAGATTTCCTTTAAACAGTTAATTTAATAAATCAGCACAAAACAGAGTTTAAACTACTTTTATTTTACGAGAAACGCTTTATTTTAAAAAGACTCATGTTGCTGCAGACTTTGCATTTAAGTAGTAATTTATACAGAATGTACATTTTGTGGTTTACCTTGTTTAATTACAGTAGTGAATAGAACTGATTTACATTTTAATCCTTAACTGGATATTAGTGATTTAATAAAACCTAAAGTGTTTTACTTTTTTTTTTTTTAATAAAAGAAACAATGTTTTCTGGTCTTTTGTAAAATTTCAAAGAAAATTAGATTTTTTTTTAATTAAAAAACTATAATCTGTTTTGGATTTTAACCATCCTCAATTCATCAGCTTGATTCAGACACAAGATAACAAAGCAGGGAAATACCGTCCTCTTTTTATTAATTTTTTTCATTTAAAGTTGCATCAAAATCCCATTTAACATTAAAAATGTTAACCTAACTTAATCTTTAACAAATCTAACATCTTCTTACCGTGATTGATGATGTTCAGTGGCATCATGTCGCCACACTGTGGACACTTTTAAACCTGCATTGTCAGATTGGACCTTAAATTACCCCTTAAAAAGAAATGAACCAGACACAGACATAAGCATTCAGTTTAAAACAGTTTTCTCTTTGCAAACAGTGAGAAGTTTCTGAGGACGCTTGAAGACAGGTCTCAGCAGAAAGTTCTGACCTTGGCTGGGGATAGCTGAACAATTTATTACAAACAGAGCACAGAGAAAAACATCTTGACCAATCACAGGGTTACTTCTTATCCGTTAGTGCAGCTCAAAGCTGCAGAGATGAAAATTATGGCAGCAAGAAAGACATATTTAAAACAATTGATTAATGCAATAGGCTCAAATATAAAAATGATAAAGTTTAAAAATATCTATCATGCATCCTCACAGCTGATGAAACCAAACAATCAAACTGCAGTGATTTTTTGTTTATTTCCATGTTTGGTTTGTTTTCCTCAGAACATTGGGAAGAAGATGTCTTGCCAGCAGTTCATCAGTAATCTCGACGGCCTCAATAATGGAAAAGACTTTCCTAAAGACTTATTGAAGGTACCATGAACTCAGCATTACAGCTGAATAAGATTTAGAGAAGAACCACAAACCAAAGGAGTTTTTCTTTCCTCCGTACAGGTCTTGTATAACTCAATCAAGAATGAAAAGCTAGAGTGGGCAGTGTGAGTATGTCTTTTATTCAGCTCAAAAGCAAAAGTATTTGGACTATGTGAGTTCTACAGAAGTGAGTACACTTGAATACACGCTCCCCAGGTTTGTCTCAGTGGGTATTTGTGTGTGCGCAGTGAGGAGGAGGAGCTCAGGAAGAGTCTGTCAGAACTGGTGGAGGAGCAGTGTGAGGGCGGGAGCAAGCGTGTTGCCAGGGTAACGGACGGCAGTAACCCTTTCATCGCCATCCCCATTCTGCTAAACGCCGTCACCTACAAACACGGAGTGTTGACCCGCAAGAGCCACGCCGACATGGACGGCAAGCGCAGTGAGTGCACGAGTTGAACATAAGACTTTATTAAACATGTTTGATCTTTCTGTTGGACACAAGACATTTCTTTCTGTCTTCTCTTTCAGCCCCGAGGGGTCGCCGTGGCTGGAAGAAGTTTTATGCAGTCTTGAAGGGGATGATCTTATATCTCCAGAAGGTACCACATCTCATCCTCTGCTCTGTTGCCATAGAAACACATCCACCACCGCAGTGACAGCAGTGGTGGATGCTGTGTGTGTGTGTGTGTGTGTGTGTGTGTGTGTGTGTGTGTGTGTGTGTGTGTGTGTGTGTGTGTGTGTGTGTGTGTGTGTGTGTGTGTGTGTGTGTGTGAGGAAGAAGCGAGGTTGTCCTTGTCCATGTTTGTCTCCCTCTGCTGGTTGAGAAGTTGCACTGACAACACGTCCACCTACTGGGATCTAAAACACTACTGCTTTTAAAATGAGTTGTATTCTTATCATGAGTATTAGAAACTACATAAAAAAACTAATCTGTAATTCTTTAAATCTCAAAAATAAATTGTTCAAAGAACTGATGAGAGTTATTTTACGTTCTGGTCTTTCATAGGGCAACATCATCTCAATCTGTAATAAACTGCTTCTGGTTTTAGATAGTAACAAACATGCAATTTGGATTTGGTTGGATCTCAGGACAATGTTTGATACAATTTATTAGAGATGCACCAATATGAAAGTTTCAGTCGATATCAATATCCCATATAATTATTGCAGTTTTGGCCGATAACCAATATTTACTGATATTACACAAACACACATGGGTCTTTTTTTGATACCATAAATAAACAACCAGACTTCTAACATGACTCTCTACTTCATTTATTCCTGGCTGCGCAGCGTCAGAATCACTAACATATAACAGATAACACTCGACCAAACATTTCGCCTACCAAAACAGAAACAAAGAGCTAAAAAATGGGAAATTAATATCAGATGTTAATATCGGCCCAGTTTTACACAGATATTCTAAAAAATGACCAATATCAGCTGATACTGATGGCAATGCCGATATATCGTGCATCCCTACAATTTACCACACACTACTTCTAAATTATTTCACTTTAGTAGTTCATTTCTTTTTCTCAGGCAGATCTTACTCTGTTAAGATGGGAAATGTCTCTTCTGCAGCTTGTGGATTTCCTCAGGGATCCATCTTCGGGTCAATTTTTTCCCCGCTTTTATACGTAACCTTTGTTCATATTTTCTGCAAATATATATGTGGACAAAATTGTTGATACCCCTCGTTTAAGTGACAGAAAACCCCATAATGGTCACAGAAATAACTAGAACATGACTAACGTAATAATAAATAAAAATTCCATAAAAATAACAAATTAAAATCAGACATTGCTTTTCAGTCATGCTATAACAGAATAAAAATAAATAAAATTCATGAAACAGGCCTGGACAGATGATGATGATGGTACCCCTGAAAATAATGTTACCAAAGGGTCATGCTAAATCAAGGTGTGTCCACTAATTAGCATCACAAGTGTGTACAATCATGTAATCAGTCAGTGGGCCTGTATGTAGGGCTACAGATACTCACTGGTTTGGTGACATAATGTGTACCACACTCAACATGGACCAGAGGAAGAGAAGTAAAGAGTTGTATCAGGAGATTAGAAAGAAAATTATAGACAAGCATGTTAAAGGTAAAGATCATAAGACTTTCTCCAAGCAGCTTCATATTCCTGTGACAACAGCTGCATTTCCATCCATCCATCCATTATCTATACACGCTTCTTCCTTTCAGGGTCATGGGGGTCATTGGTGCCCTTGTCCGGCAGTCACGGTGCGAGGGGCGGGGTTCACCCTGGATAGGTCTCCAGTCCATCACAGTTGCACATATTATTCAGAAATGTAAGATCCATGGGACTGTAGCCAACTTACCTGGACATGACTACAGGAGGAAAACTGATGACAAATCAAAGAGACAAATAATACAAATGGTAACAAAAGAGCCCAGAAAAACTTCTAAAGAGATTAAAGGTGAACGTCAAGCTCAAGGAACATCAGTGTCAAATCAAACCATCCATCTTTCTTTGAGCCAAAGTGGACTTAATGGGAGACGATCAAGGAGGACACCAAATCATAAAAAACCAGACTGGAATTTTCCAAACTACATGTTGACAAGACACAAAGCTTCAGGGACAATGTCCTCTGGACAGATGAGACAAAACTGAAACTTTTTGTCAAAACACATCAGCTCTATGTTCACAGATAAGAACACTGTCCTACTGTGAGACATGGAGGAGGCTCTGTTATGGTCTGGAGCTGCTTTGCTGCATCTGCAGGGGGTCTTGAATCTGTGCAGGGTACAATGAAATCTCAAGACCATCAAGGATTCTAGAGAGAAATGTGCCCAGTGTCAGAAAGCTTGGTCTCAGTTAGGCCCTGGCTGAAACTCCCCCAGACCCGCAACAAACTCGTCAAAACTTTACCTGTAGCTCCCAAAAATAACAGGAAACTTGCATTTTTTTTGTTACAGAGTGAGAGTCCACTTTGTTAAACATTCTTTAAAAAAATTAAAGTCTATTGGTTTATTACACTTACATATTACGCTTTTATAATTATTAGTTGTAAAATGGTCACCAGGCAATATTATCGCTTATCGCAATAATTTTTGAGACAGTTAATCGCCCAGCAAAATTTGTTATCGTGACAGGCCTAGTCTCAGTCACAGGTCATGGGTCTTCAACAGGATAATGACTCAAAACAGCTAAAAACACCCAAGAATGGCTCAGAGGAAAACACTGGACTATTCTGGTGTTCTTCTTTGATCCTGACCTAAATCCTGTTGAGCATTGTTGGAAGGAGCTGAAACATGCCATCTGGAGAAGACACCCTTCAAACTTGAGAAAACTGGAGCAGTTTGTTCATGAGGAGTGGACCAAAATACCTGCTGAGAGATAAAGTCTCACTGACAGGTACAGGAATCCTTTGATTGCAGTGATAAACTCAAAAGGTTGTGAAACAAAATATTAAGTTAAGAGTTCCATCATTTCTGTCCAGGTCTGTTTTTATGAGTTTTATTTTTAAAAACATTCTGTTGAAGCATGGCTGAAAAGCAAAGTCTGATTTGTTCATTTTCATAGAATTTTTACTTATTATTTTAGTCAGATTCTAGTTATTTCTGTGACCATTGTGGGTTTTTATGTCATTAAATGAGAGTTACCAATAATTTTGTCCACATTTGTTTTCATTGTTATGCAAATGACAAATACATAGATCTATACAAACCAACATTTGATAAATTATTTCTAAATTCAATTTAAATGCCATTTATCCATTTTCTATACACACTGTATTCCTTTCAGGGTCACGGGGGCCCATATCCAGCAGTCACAGTGCAAGGGGCGGGGTACACCCTGGACAGGTCGCAAGTCCATCACAGAGACACACATAGAGACAAATGAGACAAACAACCATTCACTCTCTCACTCACACCTAGGGACAATTTAGAATTATCAATTAACCTAACAGTCATGTTTTTGGTCAGTATAAATGTTTTCATCCGTCTGTCCGTTTTCTGCCGCTTATCCGGGGTCGGGTCGCATGGGCAGCAGCCTAAGCAAAGAGACCCAGACTTCCCCCTCCCCAGCCGCTTGGGCCAGCTCATACAGGGGAATCCCTAAGCTTTCCCAGGCCAGCCGAGAGACATAGTCCCTCCAGCGTGTCCTGGGTCTTGCCCGGAACACCTCACCAGGGAGGCGTCCAGGAGGCATCCTTACCAGATGCCCGAGCCACCTCAACTGGCTCCTCTTGACGTGGAGGAGCAGCGGCTCTACTCTGAGTCCCTCCTGGATAACTGAGCTTCTCACCCTATCTCTAAGGGAGAGCCCAGACACCCTGGGGAGGAAACTCTTTTCGGCCGCTTGTATCCACGATCTCGTTCTTTTGGTCACTACCCAAAGCTCGTGACCATAGATGAGGGTAAGAAAGTAGACTGACCGGTAAACCGAGAGCTTCACCTTTTGGCTCAGCTCTCACTTCACCACGACAGACCGGTACAACGCCCGCATCACTGCAGATGCAGCACCAATCCGCTTGTCAATCTCCCGCTCCATTCTTCCCTCATTCCTGAACAAGACCCCGAGATATTTAAACTCCTCCACTTGGGGCAGGACCTCCTCCCTGACCCGGAGAAGGCACCCTATCAGTTTCCAGCTCAAGACCATGGTCACGGATTTGGAGGCACTGATCCTCATCCCGGCTGCTTCACACTCGTCTGCGAACCGCTCCAGCGAGAGCTGGAGATCACGATCTGATGAAGCCAGTAGGACCACATCATCGGCAAACAGCAGAGATATGATCCTGAGGTCACCAAAAAGGATCCCCTCAACACCTTGGCTGTGCCTAGAAATTCTGGCCATAAAAGTTAGGAACAGAATCAGTGGCAAAGGGCAACCGTGGCGGAGTACAACTCTCACCGGAAACAGGTCAGACTTACTACCGGCAATGCAGACCAAGCTCTGGCACCAGTTGTACAGGGACCTAACAGCCTGAATCAATGGGCCTGGTACCCCATACTCCCGGAGTACCCCCCACAGGAGTCCCCGAGGGACACGGTCGAATGCCTTCTCCAAGTCCACAAAACACATGTAGACTGGTTGGGTGAACTCCCATGCACCCTCCAGGTCCCTGCTGAGGGTGTAGAGCTGGTCCGCTGTTCCACGACCAGGACGAAAACCACACTGCTCTTCCTGAATCTGAGATTTGACTATCCGACGGACCCTCCTCACCAGGACCCCGAATAGACCTTACCAGGGATGCTCAGAAGTGTGAGCCCCCTATAGTTGGAACACACTTTTTAAATAAGGGAACCACCACCCAGGTCTGCCAATCCAGAGGAACTTCCCCCGATGTCCATGCGATGTTGTTAGAGTCACGTCAACCAAAGCAACCCCACAACATCCAGAACCTTAAGGAACTCTGGGTGAATCTCATTGATGCCCGGCGCCCTGCCACCAAGGAGCTTTTTAACCACCTCAGTGACATCGGCACCAGAGATTGGAGAGTCCGACCCAGGGTCCTCAAGCTCTGCTTCCTCATGGGAAGACGTGTCGGTGGGATTGAGGAGGTCTTTGAAGTATTCCACCCATTGACCCACAACGTCCCGAGTTGAGGTCAGCAGCACACCATCCCCACCATAAATAGTGTTGGTGGCGAACCGCTTTCCCCCCTGAGATGCCGGATGGTGTACCAAAATCGCCTTGAAGCCGTACGGAGGTCTTTTTCCATGGCCTCTCCGAACTCCTCCTATGCCCGAGTTTTTGCCTCAGCAACCACCCGAGCCGCAATCCGCTTGGACTGCCGATACCTATAGGCTGCTTCCGGAGTCCCACAGGCCAAAAAGAGCCGATAGGACTCCTTCTTCAGCCTGACAGCATCCCTCACCGCTGATGTCCACCAGCAGGTTCGAGGGTTGCCGCCATGACAGGCACCGACAACCTTACGGCCACAGATCAGGTAAGCCACCTCGACAATGGAGGCACGGAACATGGCCCACTCGGACTCACTGTCTCCGACCTCCCCCGGAACATGTTCAAAGTTCTCCCGGAGGTGTGAGTTGAAGCTCCGTCTGATGGGAGACTCTGACAGACGTTCTCAGCAGACCCTCATTATACGTTTGGGTCTGCCAGATCTGACCGGCATCCCCCCCCACCAACGGAGCCAACTAAATGTTTTCTGTTTAATAATAATACATCTCATGGTTACTTTTGTTTGTCTAAACTGGACAAACTTAACATCCCACTCAGAGCAGTTATCATTCAGTCTTAACATTTTACATTTTTATATTTTGTTCACTTAACTTTCTCATTTATTTAAAAGAAATCTTTCTAAACTCAAACCTATTTATTATTGACATGGAGACAATCTGTAAAACTTATCTTAAGACACTTTTTTGGCATTTTATTGCATTTAATGGGTTGCAGATTGAATAATTTGTCATTTTTTCCTGCTTTATATTACGTTTTAACATCTTATTTTCTGTTTTAAATCAGTTGTTAAGTTTATGGGCTAAAGTTGTTTAGACTATTGATTTGTGGGTTTATTTTGCTGCACTTCGGTCATCTTTGGCTGTTAAATATGCTTTTAAATGATGTTTTATTTTCTCTGACTCACACAGGATGAATACAAGCCAGACTGCGACATTTCAGAGGTGGATCTGAAGAACGCAGTACGGATTCATCACGCTTTAGCCACATGTGCCACTGATTACAGCAAACGAGCCAACGTGTTGAAACTCAAAACCTCGGACTGGAGAGTCTTCCTGCTGCAGGCATCGTGAGTCACCCACTTTACAGGGGAAAAAACATTTAAAACTCAGCCAGACGGGAAACGACTGAAGGACGTTTTTCACAAAAGCTTTTCAAACAAACCAACTAGTGAATGATTTTTAAATAACAGAGCTTTTAACAATATTATAAATGATCTAGGGCTGCAACAACTAATCGTTAAAATCAATAAAAATTGATTATTAAAAGTGTTGGCAACAAATTTTATTAATTGTTTATTGTAGGGTGATTTCTAATGGTATAATTTAATGATTAACTTTAAGTTTTAATTTGCTGGCAGCATCTGAGTGAAGTCACTTGCCTTAACTTAATACTGCAAATAAAACAAGGTTTTATTGAATTATTGTAATAAGCAGCTGTCTGGACTGAGAGTGTTCTTAACATGATCATCACTTACATGAGACTGTCCATGAGACTGTCATTGAGTCTGTCCATGAGTCTGTCCATGAGACTGTCCATGAGTCTGTCCATGAGACTGTCCACGAGTCTGTCCATGAGTCTGTCCATGAGACTGTCCATGAGACTGTCCATGAGTCTGTCC